GAGCTCCACCGCGACATCTGTATGATACTGCACCAAGCATTCTGGTCTATGTTGCACAGCCAACTTCCATTCCTGACCATGGATATTTTCCAACACTCAGTCACAGCCCTTCCTGTTCTCCCTTCCCTGCCACACAAACTTCCTCTTCCCCCTCTCTCAACCATTCTCTCATTCCTAATCCACTTCCACAACTCTAAGTCACCTCAGAATTTACAGGCAGCCACATTCATTCTTGCTCTCACTCCCAAGGTACTGTCTATTTCTAGCACTGAGACAATTCCAACTGAAACATTAACTCAGTAGTACCCAAACCAGCTATAATCCTCCTCCTTTTTCTATCTCCAAGTATTTTCTCTAGTATTGTCAGATTAAAATACCAGTTCCTGTTTACAACATCCATGGAATTCAAACACCTCTGTCATGTAACACTTGGATATCATTGCAGTAGTCTCTAAATGAGATTCTCTTTTCTAGACTCTTTTCCCGTAAATCCATACCCAAAAGAACTAAGTGGTCTAATCAGTTCATGCCATTTCCTTAGCGGATCAAGCCAACATAAGCACTGAACTTTCCAGAAAACTACACTATATGTACAGGCAACTCTTCATTTTTTACACCTAGGTTCTATCCACCATGGATTTCTGGTTCCTGAAGTCAGAAGACCTTCATGCATTTTATTCATCATTACTTTTTTCTTGCATTTCTCCTTTTCTGAAATGTCACATGTGTCCCATTTCTAATTCTATATTTCCTTCAAATGCACCACCATTTCCAAACCCAGAGAGATCATGCCTTTGAGGAATAGCTAAATTAGCCTTAGAAAAATAACATGGGATGGGCATTTGGTGCTGAGGTTAGGATGGCACTCGAGGTACTGGCATCCTATACTGCAGTCCCTCAGTTTAAGTCCTGACTCTGCTGCTGATCCAGATTTCCACTATGGCAGATTCTGGAAGGCAGTACGTGATGGCTCAAGTAGTTAGGTTCCTATGACCCAACATGGGAAACCCAGAAACTATCTTTTTCTTTCTATTTCTGCCAAATAAAAAAAATCAGAAACATGTTTTAAAAAATAATAATATAGAAAAAAAATGATGCAAGTATGGGTCTATATAAAGGAAGGGAGAATGCTAACAGTAAGCATGTAGCATTTTTAGTCATTTCAAAATAAAATGATCTAAAACAAGACCTAATTACCTTGCAATGTGATATTTATTAATATGCTAAAGTAAAATGTTAGGAAATGAGAGCATAAAGAAAGGAAAAGAAAAGCACGTGCCACTGCATACGGTGTGGTGGTAATCACTCCAGGCTGACTGTAGGAAGCTCAATGTGTTTATTGTAAACTCTAGAAATAACACAAGGCTCATTGCTTAGATGTCAAGTCTCCCTGAATTTACCATTAGAGTCAACACAATCTCACATAAAACCCCAGATTGACAAATTGAACAGAAAACGTATAATGAGATCTATAAAGAAATCTATGTATGTAGATAAATCCATACTATAAAATATCCTGCCAGATAAACTTAAACCTGAAGGTACTGAAAGGATCCTAATCTTGTACATGACTCAAACAACTGTCCATTTCCACAAAGGAAGCAAGAAGCAAACTCAGTACCAGAGCCCAGCTCCACCACATCTGGATCACAGGCCTCCTGTGACTGAGGTCAGCCCACCTTCCACTCTGCCTATGGAATAACTTAGATCTCTTCTAAAGATACCAGTATCTCCTGATGGGCCTTCATTTCCACATTTGCTGCAATGCATAGAATGTAATAAATCCAGCAAAATAATAAGTTTCCCAATACTTATTGATAAAAATACCTGATCTCAGAAATGAGTTGACCTCATCAATGTCACATATAATTAAAGATACAGGGCTCTATAAAATATTTGATTTTATAAATTATTTCATAACTTACACTGTCAAAAAGCACTCGAGAATTTTTACTGAATTCATTAAAATAGCTACCGGAATCAGGCTAGTTCCCATCATTAATTTCTTATTTGTCGTATGATACAAAGCCAAATGGGGCCAGCGCTGCAGCTCACTAGGCTAATCCTCCGCCTGCGGCGCCGGCACACCGGGTTCCAGTCCTGGTCAGGGCGCCGGATTCCGTCCTGGTTGCCCCTCTTCCAGTCCAGCTCTCTGCTGTGGCCCAGGAGGGCAGTGGAGGATGGCCCAGGTCCTTGGGCCCTGCACCTGCATGGGAGACCAGGAGGAAGCACCTGGCTCCTGGCTTCGGATCGGCACAGTGTGCCGGCTGTAGCGGCCATTTGTGGGGGTGAACCAACGGAAGGAAGATCTTTCTCTCTGTGTCTCTCTCTCTAACTCTGCCTGTCCAAAAAAAAAAAAAAAAAAAGCCAAATGACCCAATCACTTTTTAGAAAGATAGAAAGAGACTCAAAATTTGAGGATGCTGCTACCATGCTGTTGTTCCTGCAAGTAGGTAAGGATGGCAGAAACACCAGCGCACAAGTGACATCCAGGACACCATGAGTAAGCCTGTATAGCTACTGGTCCATGATGAACACACTGTTCAAGGAAACATGGCTGTTTCCCAGTCGTGCTTCATTATAAAAAATACCACCTTAATATCTTTGCTCAAATGAAGTGGCACCTAACTTTATCAACTGTAACAACTTCAACTAGCTTCTCTGATCTATAGGTCTCTTGTGGCAACTGGTTTTTCCCTGCCCAACTTGCAGGCTCCTCTCATTCAGGTGCTGCCACGAGGCCAAGCACATGAAACACCCTTCCTCTGGGCATGTGAAGCCAGGTGGGGCAGAGAGGGGACGGCCTTGCTTCTCTCCCGGGACGCTGGCTGGGTTTTCAGCGATTTTCCTGAATGCTGCCAAACAGCATCACGAGTAGTTGAATGTTAACAAGGAAACCTTTGGAGCTAACTTACTCTCCTCATACACTGAACGTCTACCTTCTCTGCCCCTTCTTTAAATGATGTTCCAACCACTATCTCTTAAAGAAATGTGGTTCCCCACCCCTCCAGCCTATGCAAAAGGAAGGACCCGTGCATTGAGGGGATGATACTCAATTGCAGATTACAGTTCTGTGTACCAAAGAAAACCTCAATCTTTCTTTGCAGGTATGATCAAAGTGTACTGACCTGATGAAAACAGTAAACAGCTTGAGGCTTTCCACATACCCGTGCATCATTTAGAGTACATCACGGATGACAGAGAACATAAAATTGCCCACATGAAGTTAAGAAACACTTAGAACATGAGAAAAAGGGTTACCTGCTTCTCAAACACATTGTGAAGGATCCAACCCCCACCACATGGTAGAAACACAAGATATGTCAGGTGCTAATGTGATAGAATCATTTTAAACTCCTAGTTACAAAGAATAGAAAGAAAAAATACCATATTCCTAGGGCCAGCACTATGGCACAGTGGGTTAACCCATAGCTTGTGATGATAGCATCACATACCAGAGTGCCAGTTTGAGTCCTAGCCACTCCACTTCTGATCCAGCTCCCTACTAACATACCTGGGTAGGCAACAGATGATGGCCCACATACATGGGGCTCCTGTCACCCTCATGGGAGGCTGGGATGGAGTTCAGGTTCCTGGCTTTGGCCTGTCCAGCCCTGGCCATGCAGCCATTTTGGGGAGGTGAACCAGCAGATGAAAGATACCATCCCACCCCTGGAACTCTACCTTTCAAATGAAATAAATCAATAATAAACAAAATCAATTCTTAAAAAAAAAGCCAACTTTGCAGAATATGTAATTAAAGATAAATTTTAAAAAGACAAAAATAAGGGGCATGTGTTGTGGTATATAGCAGGTAAATCCACTGCCTGTGACACCAGCTTCCCACATGCACTCCAGCTCCAACTGTTCCACTTCTGATCAGCTGCCTGCTAATGCACCTGGGAAAGCAGCAGCAGATGACCCCAGCGCTTGGGCCCCTGCACCCACATGGGCGATCTAGAAGAAGCTCCTGGCTTTCACCTAGCCCAGCCCTGGCCCTCATGGCCACCTGGGAAGTGAACCAGTGGATGGAAGCTCTAACTCGGCCTTTCATATAAATAAATAAATAAACCTGAAAAAGAAAGATGAAAAATGAAAAATACCATACTCCCTGTTACCAATAATATGACAGAGAAATGAGGTTATGTGTGTTACTTCCTCACAGCTCACATGATTATTATTCTACCTTTGGGAGTTAATACAGACAAAAATACTTGGCACAAAACACACCCTACATAAATGTGTTTACTGATAAATATTTAAAAGAAAAATATGGAAAACGGAATAAGCTGAAAACTAAAAATAATAAATAAAAATCTTATAGTAATAACTTTATACAAACACTTGAAGATCAACATCAACAGATATTAACAATATCTGAAGGAACTAAAAAAGATGTAATGAACACAATTTCCTGTTCCTGAAATTAAGCAAAAATTGTAGCCCAAAAACAAATAAGCAGATTATAATAAAAATAAAGCTATATGCACTTAGCAGCATCCATTTTGCAAGCAATAAGATTACTAAAAATAACAAGTCACAAATAAAACAATAAATTTACAATTTTGTTAAAATATTAAACTAAATGTCTTTAAATTCTTTTTAAAATATACTTGTACATATGAATCTGAAGTATTCAGTTTAAAATTAAAGATAAAAGTAAATTTTAAAATTGTGATTTCTTTGCTATGAAGTTTTTCTACAGAAAAATACAACATTGGATGTTAATTTTTGCTTAATTAAAAAAGGAAAAATAACAAATTATTATAGAGGAAAAAAGAAAAAAATTAATTCTTGACTTCGAATACAATTTCAAGAGTTATTTGAGAAGTCAAAATTATAGATAAAATATTAGGCTACAAATATCAATCACTTAAACATCAGAATTAAAACAGAAAACACTATTATATTATTAGATTTTATTTTATACATTTTTTCTATACTTTCATTTTAGCACAGTAGCTAAGAGATACATACACCATGCCTTGAAGATATCCTACCTTTTTATCATATACATCTTGCCAGTTTATTCCAGAAAAGAAACTATGTCTCATAATTTCTTTTGCATCGTCTGGTCCTCCACCAAGGCTATGAGGACAAAAATAAAATCAAATGAGTACAAAACATTTCCATAAGCCCAATATAGAATAAAGTTTTATGAAAGTGCAATATTCTTGGGATAAATAACAATAAAATGTAAAGCTCTTACTGTAGGATCTAATTTCCTTAATGTGCTGTTATTAAAAACTAACTTCACCACAATTTAGTGTTTGGAAAAGAGCAGAGGTTTGGAGACAGACCTGAAAGAGGAAACCACTTTGAAACTGACAATGAAAAGGTGGTTTAACCTCAGTCTTCTCATCTGTAGAGTGGAGATCACAGTACCTGCCTCGTGCAATATCAAAGAGTTAGAAGTAACATAGGTAAGCACCTACCACAACAAATGGCATTATCACTGTCAATTCTATAAACCAAATTCCTTTTTAAACAACTCAAGTCAAACTGTATCCTTGTGAATATAAATCTGAAATAATTAAATGACTGGTCATAAACATAATCTGTGGAACAATGCTACAGATAGAAACTCACAGACTACTTATCATACCACAAATGAGTTCCTCTGAAACACTATTATTAATCTATGAAATATCATTACAATGTAATTTGTAATGTAACCTGTAATATAAATTAAAAAACTTAAAAAGACCCCATACTCCTATTTTAAATAAGTATTCTTATTAACCAGTATCTGACACAGTAAGAAATTCAAGTGTTTTCTGGCTCCTCAGTTTATCATAGTACATATTAGTTGCTAAAAATGAAAGAAAGAAACCAAGAGGGAGGGAAGGAGGAAAAAAGACAACATGGGAAGAAAGAAGAAAAGAAAGTACAGAAACTTAATCAAATCTTTTACTGATATAAAGGACATGAAGCACATTTACAAAGACAGTAAAATACACAGCACTCTCTACTGTAAATTGGCCAACTGACTCGCACAGAGAACTTGTAAGTTTTGGCTGAATTCCAAAGCCACTTATGTTCTGATGTGAACACTGGTTGATTTTTTTTTTAATGTTAAGGCTACATCAGAGACATATATCAGAGTCTCACTTATTTGCTAGTTGCAAGAGTCACTTTTTTTGCTGAATGGTTAATAATTTTGGAACAGCAGGAGGAGAACATTGCAGCCAGCTGAGATGCCCACAACCCGAATCAGAGCACCATTTCAAGTACTGTCTACTGTGCCTCTGATCCAGCTCCCTGCTAATGTGCCAAGGGAGGCAGCAGGGAAGGCCCCCTGCTACCCACATCAAAGACCTGGATGGAGTTCCAAGCTCCTGGCCTTAGGCTGGCCTACCTCTGGCTATTCTGGGCATTTGGGGAGTGAACAAGCAAAAGGAATATATCGCTTGCCCCTCTGTGTCACTCTGCCTTTCAAATAAATAAATAAATAATGCTTTTGGAACAGTGTAAAATATTTACTCAATTTTTTGGTAATTTACAATGTAACAGATGTAAATTCAACATACTTTAAAATTTAATTTGCAATATTAACACTTCTTCATCACTTTCTTAAGTCTAAACAACCAACAAAACAACAAATCAAACCCCAACTTACTGGGACTGGCATTGTGGTAAAGTGGGTTAAGCCGCTACCTGCAATGCCAGCTTCCCATATGGGTGATTGTTTGAGCCCTGGTTGCCCCACTTCTGATCCAGCTCCCTGCTGGTGCACCGGAAAAACATCAGAAGATGGCCCCAGTGCTTAGGCCCCTGTACCCATGAGGGAAACCTGGAAGAAGCTCCTGGCTTCTGGCTCTGGTCTGGCCCAGCCCTGGCCATGCAGGGAATGAACAAGTGAATGTAAGATCTCTCTGTATTTCCCTTTCTCCCTCTGTAACTCTACTGTTCAAATACACAAAATAAACCTTAAAAAAAAAAAAAAAAAACCTTAGCTTATAGCACTGGCCAATTCTGGTGTTATAAATACCCCCATCCTGGCTAATTTTAAGCTACCAATGTAACATCACTCAACACAGAGGTGGGAAGAGATGCACAATAATAAACCATTATATATTATTTCCATACAGATACAGTAGACACAACTTCACAAACTTAGATTTTAGTAAAATGTAACAAAACAAATTAAGGAAGGGCTGATAAATTTTGAGTATTTATTAACCTATACGTCTATTATTCTTGACTTATTTTACATGTTTACATAACTTAATTCTTTTTTTTTTTTTTTTTTTTTTGACAGGCAGACTGGACAGTGAGAGAGAGAGACAGAGAGAAAGGTCTTCCTTTGCCGTTGGTTCACCCTCCAATGGCCGCCGCGGTCGGCGCACCGCACTGATCCGATGGCAGGAGCCAGGAGCCAGGTGCTTCTCCTGGTCTCCCATGGGGTGCAGGGCCCAAGCACTTGGGCCATCCTCCACTGCACTCCTTGGCCACAGCAGAGGGCTGGCCTGGAAGAGGGGCAACCGGGACAGAATCCGGAGCCCCGACCGGGACTAGAACCCGGTGTGCCGGCGCCGCTAGGCGGAGGATTAGCCTAGTGAGCCGCGGCGCCGGCCTTACATAACTTAATTCTTAATAATGAATATATTAAACATCCAGCTCACAAAGTTCCTGAAAATTTAACAACTGTTTCTCATAGGCCAGTATATACCAACTCCAACCCCACTATTTAGGAAGAAAAACTTTTAGATAGGTCACAGAAAACAAATAATTCTATAACTGGAATGAATTCTGGTTGTCAAGTATAAGACACCCACAAGCGGGAAGGACCCTGGATCCTCTGAAGCACTGTCAGAATAGGAAATGAAACAATCAGCTGCCTGAGTGTCTTCAGTGGCTCCCACAAGCTGGATGAAGTCTCTAAATGAACCACATCCCAGACATGGGACTTTGGGATGGGATCAGGTCCCAACAATTCTGTATTTAGTTCATGGTCAGCACACTAGTCCCTATCCTCACTCTTTTTCATTATACTTTAATTTGCACACATCTCTACCCGAGCAGAAGGCAAACTCCTGGGAAGGTAGAAATCAGTATAGGATTAGCCAAAGGCATCCAGAAAAGCACAAGCACCGGAACACATTTCTGAGTAGAATTTAGTATTTGACAGTATGCATCAAAGTAGCCTGCTTGAGAAAGATCAGAATTCCATCATATTTCATGCCACAGTTTATTTCAATACTGTGTTCAGCTGACGTGTACTTCAGATGGTACATTTGGGAGGAGCTGGAGGCAGAATCATCATCTTTCTGCACAGGAAAGGTTTTAATCCAGCTTCAGTTATTCCTTTTTGTGTAACACCTCAGTTCTCTAGCAATAGTTTGGCTTTGGACATAGCCAGCGTTTCTTCTATATTTATCAAATACAAATAAAACTAAAACATCGGCCATGAATATTATGCAAAGTCTAAGAATACAATCTTAGACTGCCATTTCAGAAGCTGGGAGAGATTCTTTAACACAAGCTTTCTCAAAGTGTGAAAGTGTCAAAAATTTCAATGTCAATGACTCTCTAATATACAATTTAAGAATTCAAAACAATATCAAAATATGCTTTGAACTGAGACATTTGTGCTTCAGAATATTAAACTCCAATATCAGAATGCCAAGCTAAACCCTCCGCTGCTATGGATTCTTTAGCATTAGAAACATCACAAAATTCACATTTTCCTAGTATATGGAATACAACATGAGATCATGCTTTGAAGTAATCAGGATTAAGAAATAAAAGCAAACTGATCCTTGACACTTTAAGAGAAGTGAGAGTAACCCAGTAAAGAATTCCAGAAAAATGCAGGCAGTATTTAAAATAGCTAAGTAGGAAAAATAAAGGTGCATTGTAATACTAGCCTGGAGTATGTTTCCAAAGACTTTCCAAAGGCCTTTGTTGGCTTTCTCTTCTTTCTCTACCTGTGAGTTGTGATTTTCCCCAGTACTGCACCCTGGGCCATCTTCTCTTCATACCTTACCTTTTCCAATACTTTTCTGGCTCTAGCTACCTCCTGGATGTCTACGGCTTCCACAGCCACGTATTCTACTACTCTGCTTCTTTTAACCACTGCTATTATTATTTCCAGCTGCTTACCTAACTTTTCTATTCTTGGTTTACTGCTGAAACCTCAGACTCAGCAAATCCAAAGTTACTATCAACACCTACTCTATCCAGCCTCCGCCTTTGTGTGCATTCCATCTGTTAATGACACCCCACTCTCCAGTCCACCCTGTTCCTCAACCTCAGTCACTCAACTCTATGCACAGCTCTTTTATCACTGCTTTGGGAAGGACTCCATCTCTTAACTGGACAACTCAGAAGTATTACTAACTACTGGGCCAGCCTACCCCTGAGCCTTCCCTTCCATGGCAAAGTCACCAAAGTCACCTTTTAACACCACAAATCTAACTACACCATCCCTCACTTTAAATACTTGCAGCTTTTTATTCTCTTCTGAATAAAGATTAAATATTTTAGAAGAAACATAAGGTCCTAACAATCCAACATATCAGCTTCCACTTCCAGTGTTACCCAACTCTTATTCTACACTGCGGCACTGAATTTTTCAAATGCCATGTTCATTTGCAATTCTAGCTATACTGTACATGTAAATCTGTCTTCTTGAATACCACTGCAAACTCCAGCTCCTCCATGAACCAGTCTAGTCCTCTAAACCCCTAGAGAGGCTCAATAATTTCACTACAATTTGTACATAATTTGACCTGAGCATCTGTGAACATGTTTTGTGTCCCACTTTCTTCTATGAACATCTAGAGCAGTAACTTTGTCATCCTGTGCATCCTTGCATTCCCAATACTTCAGTGCAAAACTGGAGGAGCACAGTGCATCTATTATCAAAAAAAATCTCAGACAGCAGAAAACACTGCATCTTCTCTTTTGAACAATAATTATTATTATGGAAAAATAATTAAAAATTGTCTGATATATATATATATATATACATATATATATATCAAGCCACTAACTAGAAATTTACTTCACATCTATTCACAGTTCTTAACCACCTATTATATTCTATCTAGGGGATGGAGGATGGGCTGATAATTAAAAAATGAATGAGGTATAGCCATGAAAAGCAAGTACAAGTCTACTTTACCAGCCATTCACAGAGAAGACCTCAAAGGAAAGGGTGATCAAAGTTACAAGAAAAATTCAGGAAAGAAAAATTCTCTGTCCTTGAATCAAGTAAAACCTTTGATATCAAAGTCAAATAGATAAAATGGAAATCTTTCCTCAATTTAAACTACATATCAACGTGTACTACTCATGACGTAACTGTGAAATAACCATATTAAATAACCACATTTCAAAATCTAAACAGAGAAACTGTAAATAATGTACATAAGAACATCAAACAGGGACTAAGAAATTTAATTTCTCTTCTTATGCTACATGAATTTTCTGTGAGACATTGGAAAAATCATTGAACTCTGTTGTAGACCTGTGTTCTCTCCTTAACCAAATGGAACTGAGAATACTATCTAGCCTATAAAGCAACTGAAAAAGCAAGGGCAATAATGGATGTGAAAGTGCCCTAAAAATGAAAGCAATGTGACTTTACAAATACTCATCTAAGATACTATCTCAGTTCCTAGGAATATAAAATACACTTTCCAAAGAAAAAGATGGTGTTATCTCTTTATTTTTTTATTTTTTATTTTTTATTTTTTTTTATTTTTTGACAGGCAGAGTGGACAGTGAGAGAGAGAAACAGGCACCTGGGCCATCCTCCACTGCACTCCCTGGCCACAGCAGAGAGCTGGCCTGGAAGAGGGGCAACCGGGACAGAATCCGGTGCCCCAACCGGGACTAGAACCCGGTATGCTGGCGCCGCTAGGCGGAGGATTAGCCTAGTGAGCCGCGGCGCCGGCCAGATGGTGTTATCTCTTATCATGCTTATTTTTGCAGAAGGAAAAATCATGTTCTTTATAAATTTAAAATCTTGAAACATTCAATATAAATCATTTCTAAGCAGCCATAGCTCAAATTTTAGGAGTCACTCATTCTTTCATTCATTAATGCAATCAAATAAAAATGACCGACATCAATCCTAAACAAAACACTATGTGAGATGTGAAGGAGAAGTCAATAATATATGTAATCATCTATCCTCTATGTTTAAAAACTAATAGCCTTTCAGAGAAATACTGGTATGCACTGATACCTAGATTTGGAAGGATGGATCTTACACATACATATAAACATATAGATTAAGGAATACTGAAAAGTTAATAGTCTTTTTTTCTTTTTTTCAAAAAAGACTTATTTGTCTATTTGAAAGGCAGAACTAGAGAGAGACAGAGAGAGAGAAAGAGAGAGCGTGAAAGGTCTTCCAGCTGCTGGTTTACTCCCCAAATGGCTGCAACAGCCGGAACTGGGCTGATCCAAAGCCAGAAGCTTCTTTTGGGTTTCCCACATGGGTAAAGGGGCCCAAGCAATTGGGCCATTTTCTGCTGCTTTCCCAGGTGCACCAGCAAGGAGCAAGATCAGAAGTGGAACAGTCAGGTCTTGAACCAGCACCCATATGGGATGCCAGTGCTGCAGGCAGTGGTTTTACCTGCTACACTACAGCACTGGCCTCAACAGTCTTTTTCATATATCATTTATAGCTTGTGTGTGTGACTGAACATATAAACATGAACCAAGAGTAGTGTGGTTCATTCAGCAAAGCAGCCAGGGCTATAGGATTCCTTGGGTCATAGTTGTAGCTACAAAAACAAAGTGTACAAAGATTTATTTATTTATTTATTTTTTGCCATCAATTCTTTGAGTCATCCATGGAAAAAGAATACTTTCAAAGGGCAATCAAAGTAGTTCAATATGCTCACGTGGATCAGCTGTGTGAAGGACATATAGAAACAGGCCTACTTTTTGTAAACTGTTAATAATCAGAAATACCAAGGCCAGGAGACAAAGAAAGAATCTCCACAGAGCCATGCAATAAGGCAAGGAAGACACTGTTCACCCATGATACGCTTAATGAAATTTTCAAAAATCCTTATTTGGTAAATCTGCATAAAGCTTCCAAGTTAGGAAAGAGTTGAGGAAAATTTTTAAATGTTCTATATTATGCAGTTAAAAATAAGTATCTCAGTTGGAAGATGTCTACATCAAATACATTGCTTCTTGGAGTTAGTTATATTTGAATTAATTTCCATATCACAATTCCTAACTACTTTCATCAGTAACTCGCTGAGAACTGTTTGAGACTTACCGTTTATTTGGATCCTTTATCAAGAGCCCTGAAAGCAATGATTTTGCATCTGAAGAGAGTGTTCGAGGAAATTTAATGTCTTCCATTAGTATCAGTTCAAAAAGTTTCTCATGGTCCTGGTTGTAGAACGGCAACCTCCCACACATCATTTCATACATGACAACCCCGAGACCCCACCAGTCTACTGCTCGGCCATAGTCATTGTCTTCTAACACCTAAAAATGAAACCAGTAAAAAGATTAATTATTATACATTTGGTTAACTTTTAAAGCATAATTTATAACACACAGGAGTTTTATATAAAAATGAGCTTCAACTTTGAAAGCCTAGAAAGTCTACTCTGAGATTCTGACATTTAACCTATGAAGTATCCTAGAGAAGTTATACCAAATTTGTGGAATATTCAATAAAGATGCCTAAATGATCAGAGCACAGTAAAGGGGAAAGGGCATACCAAAAGAAGTGATAAATCCCAAGAAGTTGAATAAATAAATAAGTGAAAATTTTAGCTTGTATATTTGCATATTTTCTGTTAGGCCTACTTAATGTTTCATTCTGGTTCCATGAATGTGAGCTTTAAACAACAATTTGGAGCTCAGCTGTGTTGATTTCAGAGTAAATAATGTACTGTACATATTTTCGCATTAAGAAGATCAAAAGGGGGGGGGACTCACACACAACAAGAACTAACGAATACAAATTTCATAGTGAAAGACTGGAGTAAAGAAACAAATGTAACAGAGAAGAGATTGAAGAATGATGACATTGCAATACAATGTGGGATCCTATAGGCTTAAATTCTTTCAGAACTCTCTAATCAACAATATGAATATGAAGGTTATTGTTGGGGTTACAATAAATTTCGGTATTCAACGCTTTAGTACCTTACAACAAAAATTTCTGTCAAACACAACAAAAATCATGACTTAATTGAGATCTGTGTGGTATATAGCCTTACATTTCTTCCCAAAAGTACTTTACATGCGAGTAAATTTCATCAGATAGGAAAGCATCAGTTCGGCTATATTAGAGCAACCCATTCAAACTGGAAAGCGGTAATTTACCATTTCTCCCAAGAAAAGTTTGGTTTTATCTTTTTTCATTGGTTCTTTTCCCATGAAATATTCCTCATCTATACAGAGCTTTCAGTATTTCACTTTAAATATCTTAAAGCTTACTTTATTTGATCCTCTCAGCTTGGGTAAAGCCAGATCAAGAAAACTACAGACATGAATTTTATCCATTTTAAAAAAACTGATTACATAAGAGAAATTTTGTAAGAACAAAGTAGAACTGAGTTCATGTTCCAAACTTTTCTCTTTTTAATCAAGTTCTTTGTTGATGATTACTCCTATATGACTTTCATGTAAAATTGGTCAAAAATTCATATAACTACAGATATTTAGAAGAGTTACATTATGATTATCTGTAAGTACTATGAAAGGTGCTGATAGAGTATTTAACGATGAAGAATATAATTTTAAGAAAAATTACATTCTTTAAAGTATCAATGTTTGTTGCAAGGCAGAAGAAAACAAGGAATCCCATTGGTAAGAGCTGAGCATCCATTTCCTATATTTTCCCAGAAATTTTCTGTTGAATCACAAACCAAGGAAAATACTCTGAAAGAATAAATTCTGGTGTTCATCATTAGTCAAAAACATATTTCAAATTTCTACTTGGTTGAAATGGTTAATATGAAAATAAAATAGAAAATAAGAAGTAACCTTAGAAAAAGCACAAGAAATTCAACTTGTCCACTTAAGCTAAAAGGATTGCTATACACAGACATCATTTTGAAATACCAGTGACTTCATGATTTAAGGAACTGTCTCACAGGCAATTAGTAAAATGTACTGTTTGTGGGCCTTTATTTAATTGATTTGGATTTTACCTAATAACTAAACATTTAAAATCTAAGTAAGCTCTAACTGCATACCAAAAAAAAAAAAAAAAAAAAAAAAAAAGGCATACACAAAAAGGAGCCAAATGTGGTTTTTAACCTCTTTTTTCATAAAACCATAAAAAGCATAAAAGCTGGATTAACTGCCTCCCGAACCCACATTTTACCAGCCGGGTTCTCATCCCCAGCTGGCAAAACTGGCAATCCTTTATTTTTGTTTAAATACCTGGTTTGCAGCCAGAAGGGAAAGTGAATACATAAAATGAGGGTTTTTATTTTTGAAGAGAAATAAGCAACCGAAAAATAAAACTGCATTGTAAAAAAAAAAATCCGTCTGACATAGTAAATTTTATTTAGCTTTGTAAAATGAACACTGATTCTCAAATAAGTGGCTTTGCTTCTGAACATACGTGCTTTAATTGATATACAGATACAAGACACCATAATTAGAACTGTTTGCCATATCACTTGGTACTGAACAATACTGATGCAATGTATTGTCTAATAAGCAATGCTGAGGAGGAAAACACCTCAGTCACCCTTCTTTATCTAAAGACTGTATTATCAATCAATCTGGGAAGATTTTTCATTCAACTCCTACCTCCAAAGAGCTATCAGATGAAAACAACAATAAGGGTGATTATGAGATGTGAATATATAATAGAAAATATGTCCCCATTTTGCTACTATCTCTTTTCTTTCCTTTAAATCTAAAACATTTCAAAACACAAATACTCTGCAAATCCCCAAGGGAATTCAAACCCAATAGCTTCTTTTAGACCATTTCTGGAAGATAATTTTTCTTCCTTAGTACTTTTTTTTAATTACTGTAACATGAAGTTCATATTCTTTAACTTCAGGGTTACTACAATCCTTTTAGGCTGCTTTTGATGAATTTTCTTGCTAGCAAAAAGGCTAACTGATGTCATGGTTACAGTGAGAGAGCTGATCCAAAGGTATGATACACAGTGATGTAACATGAAGGTACTACAATGCTGAAGTTCATTTCAACTCCATTAAAACAGAATTCGTCACAACTTGGGTTATAGGCAGATCAAAACATGCTGCTAGAAATAATCTAGTAAAAGACTTACCTTAATTAATCTAAACTTTTTTTCAACAAAATCAGTCTTAGGGACTTTGAAATTAAACTCACAGTTTAAATACAAATGTCAACATTTGATATTTCCTTCAGTTCCTATCCTCTGTAGCCACAGATATTACTGTATATACACTAACCACAGGTGCCCAGGGACAAGATGGGATTCGGAACAGTAAAGCATAAATACATGTTAAAACATGTAGATGAGATGATGTCAAATCAAAACCCCAACCCAAACAGGGTATAAACTCGAGGAAATAAGGCTAAGTTTCAATTTTTCTACCAGAAGTCAGAAATTGTTTAACTTTTGGATATAATAAAATCTGAAGATCCAAGGGGGTCACAGAAAACACCAATTAACATTAAACATTATTAAAATTTGGGAATATTTGATAAGGATCCTTCCACATATAGCAACCAAGTGAGATAAAAAAAAAAAAAAACCACAAAAAAACCCACCACCATGAACAAGTACCTGAATAGTTATTAATTTCAAAGAATGATACTAAATAACAAAGTCTGTATTTTAAAATATTATTAAAGTTTCCAAAATGCATATTTAATTGGCATTTCCATAAAATATATCATTCTAAGATTCTTTTACCAATTAGAATTTACTGAGAGGCGGAAGAGACACCTCTCTCAGCCTTCGAGCCAGGCTTCACAATGCACCCAAGGCAAGCAATTACAAGAGGCTGTGTACACCCTGGAGTGGCTTACTGCTCAATCAATAATCCTGACAGAACAGATGGGGGAAAATTAAACATCTAAACAAACTGTCTGCACACCTATGTTGTGAAAGTAAACTGCGAACTTGGATGAACCAATTTACCGCTATTTCAAAAAAAAATTGTTTTTCTGGTAACCTTATATTTCAGGTAACTGGTACGTGTGTGTTTCATCCATAAACATGCAGTTATATCCTTTATCTCTGGAAGTCTTTTTATATATTCTTAACATCACAGGTACCTGCTAAATAAAATGACCCAGAACTCTTCTGATTCAGATTTTTAAAATGAATTGTAGCTTTAAGAGAAAAGTATGCATTTCAATGAATTCCAAGGTTTCTTGACATTTTCTTAATAAACGCATATTTTGTAACTACTTCTCACGTGCTGTTGGAACTCCAGACAGCAGCTGTAAATGCTGCTCACTATGCATGGGAATGCTGGTCCAAACTTGACGGCCACTTCCTAGGATGCACACACAGTAACTTGCATCCAGCTAACACTGCACTTTCAAAAGCAAACTCTGGCCAGAGCAGAGCAAGCTCTTGCACAAGCAAACTCTTGCACAAACTCTTTACAAGAGCTAAATGGACACAATGTTTTTAATGAAATCATACTCACACAGATCTTCCTAGAGATTTCTATACTTCCTTTTTATCATGAAACAAAAGACATTATGGGATTCCAAGAAACTGGGTCACTGTAATCCAAGTACAAACTGTTATAATGAAATACTACATGTATTCACTAGTGCTCCCAGTTAGGGCTGGCTTTATGTATGTTTTCATGATTCAGAGAACTTAAACACTGTGCTTAAACTAGACTGATGCCAAAGTACTGAATGCAAATATTCTGACCACATAACACTGAAAAAAGTTTAGGTGGAAAACATCTACCACAAGAACTGACAGATCCCTAAGTAAAGCTACTACCTACAAACACTGAGAAGCATTCATTCCATTCCAATTCATATTTAAACAATATCCAATTTTAAGACAAAATGGATAGCTATTAATATTACCTAGAAATAATGTAAAATGGCACCACAATAAAGAAGTAAATTGAACATACTCCATTAAATAGTAAGCCAACTCATGTTACTGAGTTTTTAAATATGAATTCTAACTATGAAAGCAGACAACTTCTATCAAACTAATCAATACCCACCTTAATTTCTCCCTAATATTGGTGATGAGACCTTTACAGAACTATCAGGAAGAAGATTTTCAAAAATACCTTGGGTGGGAAGATGCTACATCAAGTATTAAAAATTAAATAAAACTTTGAGGTTTACAGAATCAGCTTTAGAAAGGCTACTAGAAACAATTCTTGGAGAGTGAACCAGCAGATGAAACCTCTCTGTCTCTCCCTCTCTGTCTCTGCAACTCTGCCTTTCAAATAAATGAAATCTTTAAACAAAACAAATAAACAAAAGAAGAAGATCCAAAACTAACACACTGGAACTTCATCCAAGGAATAGCC